CAGTTTGTGATTCTATGATTCTAACTCAACAAAAACAAGATGGTCACAACAAATAGGAGAGCAGAAAGATGGGTGAGACCTTCCAGGGATGGTGACACTTGAGGGAGAGGGTTGTCCCCAATAAATATTGCAATTTCTAGTGAGTGTGACATTTCTGGGGTGGAACAGTGCTGCTGTTGGCCAGCTTGGGGCAGCTGCCCTGACTCTCACTCCTCCTCACCTGGTTAACTGTAAACTGCTGAAGTCCTTGATCACTCTGGATCCCACACACCACGCTGGCCATGAACTCAAAACAAAGTGTCTTATCAATGAAGTGCTGCTGTCTTCTGAAAAAAATGCAACTTTTCTGACCCAAGAATGAATTTTTATGATTCTATCCCAACAAAACCAGGACAACCTGCCCAAAAAGTTCCTCTGAATATTGCAGTTTTCATTACATGCCATGAAGTTGGGCTGAAATACCCGGGGAGTGGGCTGCAGTGGGATGCACATGGATGTGATGTGATGTGATGTGAAGCCACTTCCCAGCACAGATAATGGAATTATTTCTATTTTTGCTGGTTTGGGGAAGATGAGTCTTGGAAAAACATGCAGGAATGTGAAAGATTTGGGAATTACCCCGTTTCTGTAGGGTTGGAACTGCTCCTTTAGAAGGGCTGTGCTCATTTAAATCTGTATTTAAAAGCTTTTTTTTTTTAAAAAGAGGATTTTTTTTCTTCTTTCCCCTTTTCTCTCCTGTGAGGAATCCATGAGGATTTTAATCCCCAGATTATTCTGATGTCCTGTGTCTATGTTAAGCCTTCCATGCTTCAAATCCTCTGAAATATGGTGAAACAAACCAAATAACCCCCCAAAAAACCCCCCAAACCCATGGTCAGTTGGAGCTGCTCCTCTGAACGAGGTGTCTCTTGCTTTAATATTTGGATGTCCCCAAGATTCCTGGTGGGAGCTGAATCTCCTCACTGCTTTAATTTATGGAGGGAGGAGGGATCAGTTAGTGCAGCTGCAGAGATTAAGTGATGATGTGGGTCAGACTGGACCCAGGAAATGCCCCCCCCAGCTCTTGGGGGGCACCAAATCAGGTCCCAGCCCCTCCCTGCGTGGCTGAGCCAACACTGTTCTCTGTGAAAACAACTTGTGTGGCAGGTGGGGTTTATTTTTGGGTCAGAAATCAAAAATATAATCATTTCTCCCCAGCTCATCCTTTTGAGAGGGTCCCCAGCTCCACAGGGGGGTTTGGGGTGCTTCAGGCAGGAAGCCAAGTGCCTCCTCCCTGCCCTGTACCCCGAGTTGTGTGGGGGTGTGAAGGGCAGACACCCCTTGAAGACCCTCCAGCCTCAGCTCGGAGGGGTTTGGAGCTACAGCTGTGTGGGGCATCTGGGTTTTATCTCACATCTCCAAGTGCTGCTCCAGGGAGTGAGTCACAGGGATGTCCCCTTGGATGTCAGACACCCTCCAAATCCAAACCCAACCCCCCTTCTCTTACCAGTATCCTCACAGGGACCCCAGCCCCTCATCTCAGCAGAGTTCTCCATGCCAGGAGTACGGTGTGTCGGGGGAACTGGTTTGTGTGACATCCTGGGAGAGGGGTGACTCTGCTCCAGGTGTCCTCAAGGAGGGCAGGATCAGACCCTGTCACAGCTCTCCTGCCTGCTGTGGGGATGATTCTGGGGTAGCACGTCACTCTGGGTTCCAGATTTTGTCCCTCACACCTTGTTTTTGGTGGGAGTGTGGCGCTGCCAGCCTGGATCGTGCTGGTTCTGGAGGAGGAGAACCCATAGTGGTGTCCCTGGCAGGGCTGGGGGGTCCTGGTGGCACGGTGCCCACTGCTCTGCCTCCCCCTGTGCCCATGGGCAGAGAAGGTCTTTGAGGACTCGTGTGTCTCTCACCCACGGGGCTCTGTGGGGACCCCTCCTGCTGATGAGCTGCCCCTGGTGTTTTCTCTCCTAGGATTTGGACGTGGTGGGTGATGGCATGCAGTGTCCCCCGTCCCCTCTGCTCTTTGATCCCTCTGTGACCCTCGATCAATCCCTCAGAGACGTTGCTGAGACTCCCATAGACATCCTGGCGCTGGAGGAACCATCCCACCCCACCCTCCCTCCACAGATGGACAGAGGAACATCTTCTACCCACGTCTTCTCCTCAGGCACTGACCCTCTGGCTGAGCTACCTGTGCAGGTACGGTGGGGAGAGCACCTGGGGCTTCCAGCTCGTGATGAACCACAACCCTGGGGCTCTGCAGGGTGTGTGTCCCCAGGGGAAAATGTCCCAATGTCCCCATTTGTCCTCTGGTCACACAGCTGAGCCCTGGAGGGTTCCTCTCCCACACAGCCCAGTTCTGCCCCGTGCTACGCCCACGCTCTGGATGGTATTAGGAGTGGTGAGGAGGAGGTGACAGCCAGAGTTTGTCCCCTGGGGGGGGGGAGTGACAGAGGACAGGCCTCTTCTCCGTGGGTGGCTCTTCCTGTCGTGGGAGCTGTCTGGGCTGCGGTGGGGATGTCTCACAGGCTGAGGACTCCCCGCTGGGGGCAGCCCATCTTCACCCATCTGGGGATTTTCAGAGGAACTGTTGTTTTTTGGACAAAGCTGCTGCTTTCTCCTCTTCTTGAGTCTCATTTTTCACATCCAACGTCCTCCTCGTGTCCCACCCAGACCCCCTGTGGACATCCCTGCTGGGTGTCATCTTTGGAGCTGTCCTCAACCACCCCATCCTACATCCCCTTGTCACCCTTCCAACACTGTCCCTGCAGCCAAAGTGTCCCTGTGGCACCTCTCCCTTGGTGGGAATTGGGGTGGGGGGACCCCAATCTTGTAGCACCCACCCCCCAGGCCCTGAATGAAGACCACTGGTTTGGTGTAACCGTTGGTTTCAAGCAGGAGCCCAGAGGAAACATCTCCTGGTCTGTTGGGTGTTCCCATCCCTGTGGAACAACCAGTTCGTGTGGGAGTGACACCCCCCTGGGCTCACACTGGCCACCGCAGCCACCTCACTGTCCCT